AATATTTTCTTGAAAATGTATTCAGGATCAGAGAAAAATATTCTGTATTAACTTTTGAAAATGATTATTAAACACTTAGAATTTATATTCATTTTTTTCTAAGGCCCAAACAACAAGTTTTCTGTCACTTGATCATTTCTTTATTCATTTATTAATTGAAAGAAAATTCCTTGTCCAGGTTATTTTCTGCATTTGTGATTAGAATCACATTCCTATTAATCACTTTGGGAAAACATCCTCCTATCTCACTCCCTAGGCTTCTGCTAGTTCTTTGCCCTCAATATATAAATGCACGTAAATTTATATTGGCTAGATGATTATGATGACGACGATGATGACGATGATCCTAATGCTGACAATAGTAATGATGATTACTATAATTCTCCCTAGGCTCCTCTGTCCTTAATTACAGTGCTCTCTCTCTCAAGATAAGCATTTTTTAATGAGTCATCTACATTCATGGCTCTATTAAATTCATATTCGTGAGTTATGACTTTCTCACTTTTACTTTTCGTGGTATTTTATTACATTTGGCACTACTAGGACGTTGTTTTCTTTAAATTCTTTTCTCTTGTGGCTTCCAAAGCAATTTTTTCTACTGTTTATTGTTTTATTTCATTTCACCTCTGGCATTTTCACAGTGGTTCCTTTCTGAGCAACTTTTCTTATATCTACCCTTACATTTTTATACATTCTAACATGTTTTTATATCTCTTTTCACATCATCTGTTCTCCCTAGGCAATATCATACATACCCAGGGTTCAATTATAGGTATGCTGAAGATTTCCAAATCTTTATATCCCAACCAGTCCCAGTATTCCAGATTACTTTGTTCAATTGCATCTTGGTTGTATCTCTCTGGTTTTTCATGTAGAAATTCAAATTCTAAATAGCCAATATCCAATTAATCATTATCACATCAAAATCTTATGCCCAACTCACCGACAAGACCCAATCAAAGATCTGAAAGTGATCCCTAAATTCCTGTGTTTTCACTCTCCTCTTAAAATAAGCACTGAACAACTTAAAATTGCAGTGTTCATAGCAATTCAAAAATTTGTTAATTTTATTAAGATGTCAGTTATTTCCAATTTGACCTATATTTTCAACATGATTACAATAAAAATTCTAGTGGTTACTTTGTGATTATTTATAAACTGATTCTAAAGATTGTATGAAAATGCAGAATACCTGGACTAACCATTGCATTATTAAAGAAAAAGAAGGACTTTTGTTTTTTAGAAAAGAAAAAAGAGGACTAACATTACTCAACCTTAAGAGTAAGCACAAGGATAGAGTGATCAAGAAAGTGTGGTATTGAACAAAGGATAAATAAATATGACAGTGGAACAGAATGCTGCTGCTAGGTCACTTCAGTCGTGTCCAACTCTGTGTGACCCCATAGACGGCAGCGCACCAGGCTCCACCATCCCTGAAACAGAATAGAGAGCCTTGAAATAGACCTACAGGAATAGAACCAACAAATATTTGGTGAAAGGGCAAAGGCAATTTCATACAGAAAGGATAGTCTTCTCAACAAATGGTGCTGGAAAAACAAGACATCCACAGACAACAAAACTGCACAGTGACTTTACACCTTTCACAAACATTAACTCAAATAGATCATAGACCGAAGTGTAAAACGTAAAACTGTCAAACTTATAGAAGATAACATAGGTGAAAATCTTGGTGGTCTTGGGTATGGAAATGAATTTGTGTATATGTGTCCTTGTGTGTGTGTGAAAATGTACATTATATAAAGCCTAATATTTTAACTGCTTTAAGTGTACAATTCAGTGGGTTTAATTACATTCACATAGTTGTACTGGTAAATAGCTTTTAGATACAATACTAAAAGGATGATCCTTGAAAGAAAAACTTGAAAAGTAGGATTTTATTAAAATTAAAAATCTGTTCTCTGCAAAGACAGTGTCAAAAAATGAAGACAAGATATAAACTGGGAGAAAATATTTTCAAATAAATCTACTAAACACACCCATTCAAAATATATGAATAACTACTAAAACGCAACAATATGGAAAAAACAATCCAATTAAAAAGTGATGAAAAAATCTGAACAGATAGCTTGTTTTAAAAGATATATAGATAGAAAATACACATATGAAGATATGTTCAATATTATATGTCATTGCTGCTGCTGTGGCTAAGTCGCTTCAATCTTGTCCAACTCTGTGCGACCCCATAGTTGGCAGTCCACCAGGCTCCACCATCCCTGGGATTCTCCAGGCAAGAATACTGGAGTGGGTTGCCATTTCCTTTTCCAATGCATGAAAGTGAAAAGGGAAAGTGGAGTCGCTCAGTTGTGCCCCACTCTTAGCGACCCCATGGACTGCAGCCCACCAGGCTCCTCATCCAAGGGATTTTCCAGGCAAGAGTACTGGAGTAGGTTGCCATTGCCTTCTCCAATTATATGTCATTAGGAAATTACAAATTAAGATGAGACACCACTATACACCTATTAGAATGGTAGAAACCCAAAACACACACGGAATGATGTCAAAGTTATGGAGAAACAGGAATTCTTATTTATTGTTAATGGGAATCAAATATGGTACAGCTACTTGGGAAGACAGTTGGTAGTTTCTTGCAAGCTAGGCAGACCCTGACTAAATGATCCAGCTACACTTCTTGGTATTTATTAAAATGAATTAAAAACTTATGTCCACACATAAAAGACTATATACTTTGGTGTTTACAGCAGTTTTATCCATAATTGCCAAAATTTGGAAGCGACCAAAATGTCTTTCTGTATGTGAATAGATAGCAAACTAAGGCACACTCATACAATGGAATATTATACACAATAAAAAGAAATGTGTTATCAAGCCACAAAAAAACATAGAGAAATCTTAAAGCATATTGCTAACTTAGAGAAGGTAGTCCAGAAAGATTACATACTGTATGATTCAACTGTATGACAAAAGGTAAAAAAGTAAAAAGATCAGTGGTTTCCCTGGATTTAGTGAGGTGGGGGATGAATCTGTAAAGACAGGATATATTTAAGGAAGAGAAACTATTTTGTTATCATAGTATATTGGTAGACATGGTATTGTGAATTCTTGTTGATTCACATTAATTCACAGTTGATCCCATAAAACTGTATAACACAAAGAGTGAACACTAATGTAGACTATGGACTAGAGTTAATAATGCATCAACACATTATTCATCAATGGTGACAAATGTATCACGGTAATACAAGATGTTTATAATAGAGAAATTGAAGTGTCAGTGGAGCAAGTATACAGAAACCTCAGCACTTTCTGTTAAATTTTTCTGCAAACCTAAAACTACTCTAAAATATAAAGTCAATCAATTAAAGGGAAAAGCACTGAGTTTTTACTTGAATGTGTCCATCCATGCTGGTACCCCCTTCATCCAGAGCCACATTATAGCTCAGCTATCTCACTGTCTAAGCCCTCTATCTAGTCAGCCTGCCTTCAGTTCATGCAACTTGGATACATCCCCCACACTGCTTCCAACTGTTTGCTTCAACATCGAAAAATGTATTATGGTACTTCACTGTTTCAAGTCATCTAGGTCCTGCCCACTTGATCACTATTTTAACCCATATTGTCTTTTATCATCTGGCAATAGGGAACTAATTACAACTTTGTGAATGGACCATATGGCATGGCATTTCTGTTGTGCTATGTTATTTGCTTGGGACACCCCTGACTCAACTACCCACCTGTACCTAGCAACTCACCCACTAGCTTATTCTTCTGAAACGTTAACTTGTCTTTGCATTTCTGTGCTCTTCTTCTGAATTCTAATGTTGAACTCACTGGTTTTTGTCACCTGCTGGCAACACCATATGGTTGTGCTCCTCAAAGGCAAATGCCATAGATGTATGTCTTCTCCCTGTTGCAGAGCCATCTTTATAATTATTAGGATCCAGAACAGAATTTTGTTCAAATAAGTATACATTTAATTTCCACATGTAAAGTAAGCATAACATATGAGATGAATGACTTCTGCAATGGTGAACATATAATCCCCTTTAGGGGCAGAGTGGCAAAATATAATTTTCATCTGCTAGATGAGAAAAAATGAACTAACTGATAACAAAGGAGAAGTTTGGGGGTGCTATTGGTTTTTTGAAAAAGAGAGTAAAAGTGATTACAGATGTGCTTAAGACCAACTAGGTATTGGATTTAAAGAGAGAATAAAAAAAAAAAAGATGTGTCATAAGATTGACCCCCTGACTTCAACAATGATGCAAAGATGTGGCAATAAGAGTCTGTGGAAGGGAAGTGGCAATGAAAATAAAATCAGAAGGTAAAAGGATGACAAAATCCAATGGTTCCTGGTGACTGGGGCCCAAGGGACTGTGTCATAGCTCAGATTCTACCAGATCAGCAACCTACACTGGGACAGCTGACAGACTACAAAATGACTTGCAAAAATGGCTTTTCCCATTAAAGAAAGAGATGTTTAATTTAAAATAAATTAAAATGATAGGAAATTTAATAAAGTTAGAATATTTTAACTACTATCACAACTCTTTAGGAGTACAGGCAGTCCTTTGCTCTCTCGTAATAGTCTTATTCTCACTTCAGTGTGCTGTTATAACAAATAGACAATAAAATACATCACAAGCATCCTGTTTTCATTTAAAATATGTCAGTAAATTAAATAGAATCATGCTGTCAAATTACTTGCAAAGATCTAAGTATTCTTCCAGTAATTATACCTAATGCATGATTTATTCCAGGACTATTAGTGATTAAAAATATTTTTTTCCTCTATTGATGCTCTCTTACTAATTATACCCCAACATGATTTACTTCGTGCTTATGAATAGATGATAACTATTAGCTGGACATTTTTTTCCCCTACACTAATGACACAACTCTGCAGGAAAGCATTTATTTATTAAATAGATCCACAGTTTAAATGTAACATCAAATCAGGAGCTGTTTTTCTTCTCTCCTCCCAGGATTTTCAAGCACTATCTTTCTATTGGAGTCTTCCTTTCCAGTGTACATTTTACATAAGTTATCCTAACATTTGCCCTTTTACCAACCACTTTATTGTGGGCACATATCTTGATTTTCAGCCATTTCTCTCCTCCCTTCATCAAGAATTTCTTACTTAACCCCTGCAATTTATCTTCTGCCAGCCTTTCTACAGACATGGTTTTCTAAAAGGTCACTATTGACCTAAATCTTGCCACATCTGATAGAATCATCCTCCTTGACCTTCTCTGACCTATCTGCTGCAGTGTCCCTGCATTTCCAAGTAAGCATGACCATCATTCCAGAGAGGACCTGTAAGATTACTTAAAGTGAGTGAAATCATTCTAGAATAGGGAAAAGTTTTTAAATGTGAGTCCCTTTGGAGGTAAGTTCTGAAAACTCTTCTGTAACATAAAAGGTATTGAAGATTTTTCTCTCTTGAAATGTTTTACTTCCTTATTGTTTGTGGAGATGATCAGCCATCTTTCTCTTATCTCATGCCTCATCTTTCTTTAGACACCACTGACCCCATGACAACTTTTATTTCTTCTCTCTCCCTGAGAATCCTTGGAAAGATCAATAGTCAAGTCAGTGCTCTTCTCTCTGCACTTTCTGTTTGAGATACAAGCCACCCATACCAGCTCCCTGTGGGTGGAAAAAGAAGAAAATAAAGCAACTAATTACTTTTATTATATCATAACTTATGTTCACTAACAGGTGAATGGGAGGAAATGATTAATATCTTTCAATCACAAATTGTTTATGCCTATATTCCTCTTTTTCATATAGAAAAATTACATTCTACGTTGCTTTAGTTGTTGAGACAAGCAAACAAGAAACACCAAGTTGTTATGGTTACACCCTCACCTCTCATTGTTTATTTGGGACACTTGTGATTTGTTCCATGCAGCCATACCAAATCATAATGATAAAGGTTTTATTTTTGTATTGAAAATGCTTATAATATGGCCAGCAACAGAAAGCATAAAATAGACGTATCATTGCTACAGCCATGTAAAGACATGTGCACCCATATGGATGTAGGTTGGAAGTTGATCATAGAGAAATAAACGTGATTTTCCTGAGACTGTTGAAAGAAAAAATATTCATTATATTATTAATTATTTATATTGTTCAGATGACTCATGTTTGCTTTTTTTTTCCTTCTGATAACTCTAACTTTCTGGTTGTGACAGTCCTAGAAGATTGAGATGTTTCCTTCTCTAGCCCCAGACATGTGACCCACGCCACAACTTGAAGTCTTGCTCTTCACCTAAATCAGGAGCCCTCCTGGGAGCATCCACTCTTGATCCCATTTCAATTGACCACCCTACACAGAGCTCACAGGAGATTTACAGGTTACCTCCTGTGCCACTTAGTAATTGCTGAGAGCTTTTGGAAGTTGTCAAATGGCTTGCTCCACTTGTATATCTTGTTTAGATTAAGTCTGAGATGTAGGACACAATTCTGCCATGTTCTCACACTTGCAAGGGAGTCCCTCACCTCAGGTTCATGGGAGAGGCAACAGAGCGCATAAGAACACATTCACACATCGCACCTTTCTTCTTCCCCAAATTAACCATTCTACCCCCAGTTCTCTCTAACCTCAGCTCAGCTCAGCCGTGCAGGCATGTCCAACTCTTTGGATTACAGACCTGTGTTCTCAACCCTGAGGATTACACTGGTCCCTTGTTAACTCAAGTATAATCTGGATCAACAGCATCCACATTACTGGAAGCTTCAGTTTAGTCACTCAGTGATGTCTGACTCTTTGAAACTCCATGGACTACAGCACGCCAGGCTTCCCTGTCTATCACCAACTCCCGGAGCCTGCGCAAACTCATGTCTATCAAGTCAGTGATGCCATCCATCCATTTCATCTCATCTCATCTTGTCCCCTTCTCCTCCTGCCTTCAATCTTTGCCAGCATCAGGGTCTTTCCTAATGAGTCAGTTCTTCACATCAGGTGCCCAAAGTATTGGAGTTTCAGCTTCAGTATCAGTCTTTCCAATGAATATTCAGGACTGATTTCCTTTAGGATTGACTGGTTTGATCTCCTTGCAATCCAAAGGACTCTCAAGAGTCTTCTCCAACAACACAGTTCAAAAGCATCAATTCTTAGGCACTCAGCCTTCCTTCTGGTCCAGCTCCCACATCTGTACACGGCTATGGGAGAAACCATAGCTCTGACTAGACAGACCTTTGTCAATAAAGTAATGTTTCTGCTTTTTAATTTGATGTCTAGGTTTGTCATAGCTTTTCTTCCAAGGAGTAAACTTCTTTTAATTTCATGACTGCAGTCACCAGCTGCAGTGATTTTAGTGTAAGTGTTAGTCGCTCAGTCATGTCTAACTCTTAGCAGCCCCACGGACTGTGGTCTACGAGGCTCCTCTGTCCATGGGATTCTCCAGACAAAAATACTGGAGTGGATTGCCATTCCCTTCTCCAGAAGATCTTCCTGATCCAGGGATCAAACTAGGGTCTCCTACACTGCAGGCAGATTCTTTATTGCCTTAGACACAGAGAAAATAAAGTCTGTTACTGTTTCCATTGTTTCCCCATCTATTTGCCAGAGTCAAATATCTTGTTGAACAGCAAGAAAAATTCTGGGTTTATCTATGCGCGCGCACACACACACACACACACACACACACAGACAAACACAAAAGGTTAGTCACTCAGTCATGTCTAACACATTGCAACCCCATGGACTCTAGCCCACCAGGCTCCTCTGTCCAAGGAAATCTCCAGTCAAGAATACTGGAGTTGGTTGCCATCCCCTTTTCCAAGGGATCTTCCCAATCCACAGATCAAATCCAGGTCTCCTGCACTGCAGGCAGATTCTTTACCATCTGAGCCACAAGGGAAGTCCTTATCTATTCATGCACATCCCTTAATCAATTGAAAATCGCTATCTTTTAAAACTTAGAATCTTAAAAATGCAAAACGTTTTCAGCTATGGATTCTTCCTAAGGTACTAGGAGTCCTCCCCTGTTAACAAGGGAGTCTCAGTGACTGTAAAAGAAAGTCTTGGAAAAGCTTATCAATTTATATTGTACATGCCACTCTATTATCAACTTATATTTCACATACCACTCTACCATAGATATCTCATAGTATGCAAAAATATTCCAAATATACTTAGTAGTAAATATATTTAGTGGTAGTGATTAATATAAATTTTCATGTAAAAAAATCACTGAATTTATAGTTCATCAGTATATTTTCACATATTAAGAAAATAACTTTCATCATGCATGATGTTAAAAAGTGACCCTCAGTATCAAAAGAATTAGAAATTATTGCACTAGTGAAATCCATAAACTTATGACACTAATTATAACTTAAAAATTATAACTGAAATTATAACTAAAAATATAGCTAATATTTAAAACTAGCAGGTTAATGTTTCGTTTGGACTTCATTCTTGAAAACTTACCCATTTTCTTCATTTTACTTTTATTTATTTATTTATTTTATTTTTATTAGTTGGAGGCTAATTACTTCACAATATTGTAGTGGTTTTTGTCATACATTGATATGAATCAGCCATGGATATACATGTATTCCCCATCCCGATCCCCCCTCCCACCTCCCTCTCCACCCATTTTACTTTTAATAACTAAGCTTTTAACAACTATAGCTCCATCTCAGAATATGTTCTTTATCTGAGTTCCAGAATGATATTTACAATTTCTGATGAATACTTCCAGTAGGAATCACAGTCATCAAATGTCTTCAGCTCCAAACCAAAGCATTAACCTCCAAAATAAAAATTCTGGTCCAAATTCAATGATATCACCTACCTGAAATGATGTTACCATCTCCTGCTTAGAGATCTGATCTATCTTTTGTTTCCCCCTATTCTAGTACTTCCTCCACATTTAACTGACTCTCTTTCCATTTTATAAAACATAGCACTGAATTGCCTTTTCACTCATAAATTTTTCCTACCACATCTCAGACCAGACTTTTTTAAACCTCATGTCTGCATTGACACAGTAACATTCTGCATGGTCTTCCCACTCTACAGCACATCTTGGCAGAAGTAATGGACTTCTTTAAAATATACTTTTTTGTCTAATTTCATTTCTCTTCACTGGGATTCAAAATAGCTTTAATTGTATTACCAATTATTCATTCAGAAGTCTGATATCAAACCTCTCAGTTAAGTCTCCACTTCTCTCATCTAACTCTCCAGTTTCTCTCTACATGAACTCCCTGCCTCCAGCTAGCCTCCAAACACATTCATTCATGGTAACTTGCCCATCCCTCCTTTTAGCTTATGTCATATATCTTGCCTTAAAAGCATTTTGCATTTTCTTGTTCTATTCCTATGTATTCTAAAAGATTGAGTTTTACTTCTCTAACTTCTGAATGCTAAATTGAGTAGTATAGAGCCATAGACCATGAGCATCTTGCTGTATCATTTGATTTAAAACACTGAAAAAGTAGCACCTAATACTAAACATCCTTAGAGCTGCTATAGTATACATACTAGTTCCCAAGAGTTTAAATAAGTATATAAAGTGTCACAGAAACCTCATGATAAATGGGTATATTTTTAACAGCTGTCCATCGAGAAAACAAAAATATAATGTTAAATTATATTTAATAAATCTATTAAATTTGCTTTGAATTCATGCTTCAGCAAGTGTGTCCTGAGGGCCTCCACATGCTGAACTCCATGCGAGGTACTCCATGTAAAGCTGGCACTAAGACTGACACCACTTCTGCCCTCTTGCAACTTACATTTCATTTAGAAGTTCTTTTAAATAAATTGATAGCATTATCCACAAATTAAATGTGAAAAGCAATATAATTTTTGCATTGTGTATACACTAGTTATGCAAATTAATCACTTCTGATTCTACACACAAAATTAGTCAACTTTCCGTATGGTCAACTTTCCTCTTACAGGAAATTGCAATTTTTACTCCTTTTATAAATGTGAGCTAATTTGCTTTATAGTTTTAAAAGTGAAAAACAATTGAGATATTTGATCATTATAAGTAGATATGATTGTATATTTTAAGAGGGGTAGCTATTTATGTTCACCTCTAATGTCACACTAAGTTTAACAAATGCAGATTACTGTGAAGAGAGTTTGAGAAGGATAGCAATATTGTCATGAATGAAATATATCTGATAATGCAAAATACTCACTTCTGACCTGTCTGTGTGAATGCCAACCGTGCCAAATTGGCAATCTGCACACCATGCAAATAGCTCAAAGCTAAGCTTGCCTGCTGGAGGAGCTAGTGTATATAATGAATACAGATTATTGAGTTTTGCTGTAGTGACTGTGAGGAAATGAGATGCTTTGGAGGGTCTGCATGCACTAAAACTGCTACATTAAAGGATTTCATTCTGAAATTGCATTGCTTTTTGTATTCCATTAATGAATTCTGGTTTGAAGAAAAATGATTAAAATAAAAAGAATGGGTTCCTTTATTTCTGAGAGTAGCTTGATATGAATTACATTTGAAAGTTTCTGATGAAACAGAGGTAAAATATGTATCTAATATCAATATAAGCCTGATATACATATACTATACACATGGTATATAACCTTGAAACCACCTTGATAATATGGTTTATTGTTATCATTTTCCTGAGAAAAAATATGTTGGTAAAATACATGT